GATGTGTTTATTCAATTACGTTGACAAATAGCTAAATCTGTAAAGCAACCTTTTCGTTATTTATTTCTTCTTTGAATTGCTGTTGAGCCATTGTTCGATCCTTAATATGTTATTCTTACGCAGTCGCTTTATTTTCCCGTGACAAACAGAGAACGGGTTTGGATAAATTGGAGCTCGCTAATCGTAAGAAGAGGTCAGTAGTGCAGTTTAGCCGCTCGTATAAGAGCAGCTCGAACATCAGTAACTCCATTAAAGTAGATCAACGTTGCACGGTGTCACCATGAACGTGGTAGTGATACCATTCTTTTTAGGTGAGAATTAGAAATTATCGTGACACCCGCGTAGCGAGTCGAGACTGATTCAACTCGAATCGTGTCTATCGTTTTCAATACTTTGTGATTGAATTTCATTTTGCCGAAGGTCATTGTATTGTAAGTACTGATAGTTAGAATGATATGCGTCCAAATCGGCATGTCGCGAATCGAACAGTCAATCGCGTTACCGAACTGCTCGTCAGAAATACGAAAAATGCTAGGTAATCGAGATATTTAACCGTAGACATCGGTCTGCTTGACGTCATCACTGCATTAATCTAGGTTCATTCAAGCTTAATCGGCCCATTCAAGCTGACGATCGAATAATACGTCGCCTGATCAGATGTCATAACTTGCCTAGTGCGCGCAATGATGTAATGACCTTTTTTCCTCAGCCGCGCATCTCACTGTGGACGAGCCATGGGAACATGGGCCGGAATACACGTTCCAAGTCCAGGTGAACTGCACGGCGATCCCAGAGGAGGGTATATATGGCAGCGTAAGGCTGAACTTGGTATCAAAGCTGATCTGCCAACCAAAGGGCAGTCATATGTTGAGTTGTCACTTCGAGGACTCCAAGGCAAACAGCTTCGTTGTGGATAGTCTGGACCCGTCGGAACCAGTAGTACCAGCCGGTCTGGTAAACCGGCAGCCGGCTTACGAGATCAACGAGGATCAGTTCGAGATCAAGTTCAACAAGCGGGGGCTGGATAGTCTAGTGGTGAATGAAAACATTCAACCGCGCGAGCTTGACATGATCCGCATGATTGTGGGCCAGCTAAGCGTAGGTGCCGTCCTCGAAGGCGTTGGAAACGACATTATCTTCGACGCAATGGAGAATTTTACCCAAGGCGAGTGTTACACGACCTTCAAGATTGATAAGAAGCTTGTGGGACGTCCGTTGTACGCGAAACCTAGCTATGCACTCAGGCCGGTCTTCGGCCTGAAAGATGGCAAGCTGGTGCAGATACGAAAGATCCGGAATCTGCATATGTGCGCGCACAAAGTGCCATATTTCTTTGGCAACGCTGAAAGCTTCAGAGAAGAGAGCGACATTATATCTGACATTGTAAGCACATTTTTATCACTTAAATACATTTACTTTTTACATTGATTACTTGTAAATTCCTCCGTATTAATTTATATGAATATTATTGTGCGATTGTTAATTTTGACAGATATTGGATTGGGGAAAAAGTTTCTTCGTATTTTTTAATTCAAATGTATATACAATTGTATATACAATATCTTCGTCAAAAATAAACGAAATTTAAATTTAAAAAAGGGTTTTCAAGCTTGAAATCTCTACTCTCGAAAGGTTATTATTTTTTGAGTTTTTGTGAATTTGATAATTTTTACATTTAAAAAACTACGAGCTGAAAAAAATTTTTAATTTTCTTTTCACTTTGGGGTCTCTCACGTGCCCAAAAAAAATTTACGAAAATTTTCGACCTATCGACCTATGAAAACTTTAAGCTTTCCCTACAAGATTCTTTTTTTTTTTAATGTTCCTATTTTTTGTTTCTGAGTTATTCACGAGTTAAGTAAAGAAGCATTTTAATTTTGATTGCTCATAACTCCGATAAAAATCATCGCTATTTAAAAAACAGATTCTTAAAGTCTGAAACTTTGCTCTAGTGAATGATACAGTTGTAACAAAAATTTCGCAACAAATGAAAAACTTTTATAAAAAAATGTTTTTTAATGCAAAGAAACTTTTTCCCCGACTTAATATATTAACATAACGAATATATAATATACATTATAACATACATTAATAAATTACTTTTAGTATTTTTTAAATGTTTAGTATTTTAAATATTTATTTTTTAAAAAATATTTTTCAAATTTTTTAAATTTGACTCCAACTTAATATAAATTTGAATTTAATCTTAATTTAATTAAAGCAATATATAAAGTAATGTTTAAGTATTACACTCTTAATTGCTGCGTTAATTGAATTTATTCTTTTTTTTTCTTACTACAGAGTTTGTCGGATGGTCACATCATTATAACATCAACAGAATTTATATCAGGTACTTCGAACGTGATAACAACGAATAAAATAACAGAGACCGTGATAACAACCCTTTATGAGAACGTAAGGCTTAGACTCGAATCGATTCAAGCTGCGAAAAGCGAACCGCTAGCTGTAAAAGAAGCTGAGCCTGCTAGTATCTTTATAGGCAGGTGGTTAATCGACGATTCGTCTGAGGAAGATAATTAAATGATTTTGTTATGTTTGGTGGTGCATAAACAGACGTATGATATATTGAAAGGCGAAATTAAGAAATTCACTTGTCGCAAAGTGACTTATACTAATTTGATTGATTTTTCTTTCTATTGCAAATTTCAGACGGTTACGGAATTATGCAACATTGCATTTTCATTAAGCATATTGCAAATATTACGTTGTGAGTGTGAATGATATTTGGAATAACTATAAATTAACTATAAATTAACTATAAATTAAATTAAAACTATAAATTAAATTATAATAATAATTAATAAAAACGACAATCGTAGTAAAAGTATTGAATTTTCATATATGAGAATAAAGCTTTATTTACTTGTATGATATTGTAAGAACGGCAAGAAATAAAAGATAAATTTATTATCTTTGTATCAAAATTTGCTTTTAATCAATATCCAATTTATCAGACTTTAAATTACGAAAGTTATAATTTGTATTGTTAAATATGTCATTTATATATATCATTTGCAAATCCAATTGTTTAACGTTTAAAAATTCCTAAAAAAATTTATGAAGCGATCATATTGTCTTTTGCCGTTTTAAATTTATTCGCATTAGCTTACTCTATTTTGCATCTCACTTTGAATTTTGTAGAGTTAATTGAATAAAATTTTGGATATCGTATCATATATTTATTCTTATATATAAAGAATAAATATATGTATGTATATTTCATATATGTATGTATATTTAATAGAAAATTAAAAATATTTTTTATATCGCAATTATAATTATAATTGTTATTGTACATATTAAAAAATATTAATAAATATATTTTATTTATTTACTTTTATAATAATCATAAATTAATTATAACATAATTTTTGACCTTGCTGAAACACAATAACTCTATCTGTATGATTGATATCAGAAATTCACGTGTTCAGGTCGCTATCTAAATTATTTTTCTCAGCGCATCCGATGTGTCAGAAAATAGTCATAGTGAGGTTAATAGATAGAGTTCTTTTATTGTCGTATCCTGTTTTTCATACCAAAAATCTTGACAAGATCATAAAAACATTATTAAACAATGAGTATCCGTTGCAGTTGAATTTTTCCACAATTAAAATTTCGTTTATGAGGCAGACGTGATAGAAATGATGACGACAAGAGAGAGAAGAGTAATAATAAAAAATACTTTAGTGTACTTTATATTCCAGGCATCTCAGAAAAAATTAAAAGCTATTTAAATATCAACAGAATAGTATAGTTATATAGGTGTAATATGACTTACAGAGGTGTAAATAAATTGAATTGTTTCATCAGGTTTCATAAAAACAGGCTTTTTTTTTATTAATAATGCATATCAATATAATGTACAAAATATCATATAAATAATATGATGCATTATATGTAGGATAGAATTTTAAAAACGAGAATTAGCGAACACCAAAATCATATTAATAGGAAAAGAGAGTAAAAATCAGTAATCACGGAGCATCATATGGAATATTCTCATGAATTCAACTGAAATAACATTAAAATTTTAGATAAAGAGAGAATTTTAAATAAAAGACTGATTTTCGAGATAATTCATATTCAGAATAAAAAAAATAGCCTAAATTATAAACTGACACTGAATTATTAGATAAAGCTTATGAGAACTTATTTAGTATTATAGCAAATGAGTTTCCATCTCTACAATGTTTATTTTATTTATGTTATTATTTCCCAATAATGCAATAATGTACGACAGTTATTATTAGATGAATCCCAACGATTAAATAGCTAACATCTCTATTTTTTACGCATTTCAAAGATCGTGTAAGTTTGTTGTATCTAATTGTTGTCTGATTTATTATTGTATAATGTATAATAGATAAATTGCATCATATTTTTTAATTATGTGCACCAGAAAGTACATAATGACTTTGTTAAAGCGATTATTCATGGACTTCAGAGTGTATTTCATCCAGTGAAAAGGAAGTGTGGATCGAAACGTATGTACATTTAATAGAATAAATCATTTTTCACATGTACATCCAGTTGCTGGCTCAACAAGGCATCATATATTTTTCATTTGATTTATTTCATTTGAGTTTTGTATCATTATTTTATATAATTTTTGTATTTATTTTATTGTTTTTATTTTATATAATTTTTTTATTAAAAAATTATGAAAATATATATTTTTTGTGATAAGTTAGGCATATATAAAGTTATATGCAAAATGGTTAACAAATTTAATGTAATAAAATAATTATACATAAAATCTAAATATCGCATTTGCAATGCGTGTCATATTATTAAAGCAGTTCTAAGTACGAAAGCAATGTTCTTATCACATTCAATACGGAAGATATCTGCAGAATTTAAGCGGAAATGGTACTTCACGAAATTATTTTCAAGGAGATGACTATAAATTAAGACATTAAGACCTTTCCTATAAAGAGGAGATGGATGACGGGCAGAAGCATCAGTCAAAGTGAGGATATCAACTATGTTAGTGACGATTCTGCCATTTTTTCTAGGTACGTTTTAAAAATTTGTTTCGTCTATATTATTAATACAGACTTTATAGTAGAATAATATTTTAATATAGTAGAATAATATTTTAAAAATTCAATAATTCGTATCTCACAATTACATTTTTTTTATTTATATCAATTTTACTTACTTGTCAAAATAATGTTTTCATCTGATAAATAAAAATTAATTTCACTTTTCTCTTTATCAATTATAATATTATATCTCTATCAAATCATCTATCTAGCTATCTTTTTGTATTATATAGTTGCAAATGTTACTGTCGATCGGCAGTACGAACAAACAAAATGGGCGAGTCCGGAATGCACGTACGACGTTCTTGTGAACACATCTCTGGCCAACATTGTTCAGGAAAATGATAATTTCTGCGCTATGATTGCCACAGAGCTTAAATGTCGTCCTAAGGGAGACGACAGTCTCAGCTGTCACTTCCAGAACTCTTTAATCAAACGTCCCGATCCAAAAGACAATAGATGCTCGAACGCGAAAGATTTTGTGCCCACGAGATATAAATTCGTGGGCGATGAACCCTTCGAAATCAGATTCAATTCGAAGGGTATTGAAAATCTGGTGGTACACAGATCGATTCCTAGATGGAGGCTCGACATGATCAAGAGTATAGTCAGTCAATTGAATGTTGGTTTCGAGATACAGGAACGTCGTGATAGATTTACAATTATGGAAAATTCGACAGTGGGTCACTGCGAAGTTGACGTTAAAATCATTCGTAAAGATCCGGATTCCCAGGAAAATGACGATGACTCTATTGAGGAGAGTGAAAAATTCGAAATCGGATTCATGCCATCGAACGTAGAACTCGAGAATCCTTTAGTTATAGAAAGACTCCAGGTGGAAAAAATCAGACAGCCGAAAAGATGCCCACGAAGAACAATATACTTCTTTGGAAATGATGAGGATTATAGTCGCGGTGACAAGCAACTCTACATGGATATGGTACGATAAAGAAATTGTTTATAATGATTAATGAAAAGATACAATTCTTAATGATTTTCCAACGAAAGCAAAATTATTAATATATTTAAAACTTGATAAAAAGATTTTGAAATAATCTATTTCTTATCATTAGAATCTTCCAAAAGTTCGATTTCTCATAATTAAATTATATATATATAAATATATCACAAAACTTTGTTATTTTGTAACACAATTTTTTTACAATTACTGACTTGGAGAATATTTTAAAATCGAAATCTGTCTTTCCCTTCTTTTAGACCACTTCCACCAGTCGTATAACTATCTCAAAAGATAAATTTGTATCTTATACAATATCGGAGGGTATAATGAAAACAGCAAATAAATCACGGATTATGCGTCCTTATCAAAAGATAAGCCTAAAATTGAAGCGAATAGATCTCATTGAAACTTTGAAAATTTCACTGCCAGAGATCCAAAATCCAGCCTCGACAAGTCTATTTGCTTTTTCAAATTTGCAAACTGTTCCGGAAGATGAATAATTTGAAATATTTGTCGTGCCCCATGTTGAAGAAAACAGTTTCCAGGAAACTGTTTCACAGATGACTATGTACGAAAGTTAGTTACAAATAATATATATATTCAATAATCTATTAATATTCAATATTTTGTAATTCAATATTTTGGAATTTCTGTTTGTAAAATTTAACATTATTTAACATTATTAAAATATATGTGTATGTATATGATGATTTGAAGTAAAATTATATTATTTTATTTATAAATCGTTAAATACAATCGTAATAAAGGGCTGTTTAAATATAATGCAGCTTGAAATGGCATTAATTCTTTGAATCTTCTTGGTAAGTGTTCTCGCTGTATTGTCAGTGATTGTTCTCGCTACAATTCACATCCAGGGTGAACTAATTTGACTTCATTTAAAGCTCATATATAAAGAGACTTCTGCTTTTAACACAAATCTGCCTAAGAAATATTTGCTGCTATAAAATATAATGCACTTTCAACAAATACCTGCTCTTCGTCTAACAAAATTTGTCGTCAGAATAAATAATACAATATTACTTTACAATTATAAGAATAATCTAATAGTAAAAAGAACATCTAATTTAATTTAAAGAATAAAATATCTTTGATATTTTATTCTTTAAATTAAATAATGTAAAATCTATTTGGTGCAATGTCATAAATAAACTCCATTTTCATAGAATTGATTACAATAATATTATTAACTTCATAAACAAAAAGGTTGAAATTAAAACGCTCTGTATATTATTATTTATATTATTATGTAATTATGTATGATCATATATGGAACGTGCGTACGTCACATGCGGTACGTAATATACGGCATCCTGGGGTTCACTATAGACGCAAGCGCTGTTGAATATTACGCTGTTAAATTATGAGCACATTCTGATATAAAGGAGCGTACGAGTGTAAGAGGAATAGTATCAACGTACGTGTAGAGTGTAGCATTGTCGCGAGATGTACGCCAACGTGATCCCGTACTTCCTAGGTCGGTAAGCCATTAACAAGTATACTTGAATCCACGTGCTTACCATTCAATGTTGCATTCGTCTATCCAAACTTCTAAAGAAAAAAAAACAAAATAAAACAAAATAAAAATAGATTATCAAGGAAGTTGAAACATAATTATATATATCTAGATATTTTTCGGTCACTCATTTTTTTAAAAACTCTGTAATTTGCTTTAAAACTGTATTTTTTATTAAATGTATACAAACTTGAGTCGTATATATCGATTATACATCGGCTATACATCGATTTCTGAATAATTTAATTGAGAGAAATTTAAAAAAATTTTCTTAAAGTTTGATTCAAATTTTGAAAGCAAAGAAGATCATAAAAGGGAGGGAGAGAGAGAGAGAGAGAGAGAGAGAGAGAGAGGGAGAGAGAGAGAGAATATTATATAATTAGAGATTTAAGGGCTAGTTTCACCAACGCCAGTTAAGCTTATCCGTCGATTAACTTCATATCAGAATAGCCAACGGCAAAACTTAAAAATCTGTCTTTCTAACTTATTCTTGTTAGTAATAGTAAAGAAAAAGTATTGTGATGGAGATAATAAATAAAACATTGAAATGTAAATATATTTGACTATTTTTTACAATACACATATTCGAAATTAGATTAGAGATGATGAGTTTTCAGTTTAGCAGTTGGCAATACTCAAAGTTAATCGGCGGATAAAGTAACTGGCGTTGGTGAAATTGGCCCTAAAAGTTGCATTTACAAAAAAAATATCTTTTTAGCGATAAATACTAGTTATAAATATTAAATTTAATTAAATTTACTTAGCCGCCTACGTAATCGTCAATGATACGTCGGAATGGACGTTCGGGCCGGAATATTCGTATGATATGAATATCACTTATGTAATAAAACCAGATCCCCACGATCATATCCAAAAGATACAATTGATCTCTACAATAAAATGTCATCCTAAAACATCAGACACTATATTCTGCCATTTATATAATATTACGATATCGGAAATATTCGAGAATTACAACATGACGCGGGAAGCACAAACGGAACAAATATTTGAGATTAAATTTAACGAGCACGGTGTGGAAGGCCTGGTGATCGAGCCACCGTCTCGCATGGAAGTCGTGAATGTTCTTCGAAAGATTGCCACTCAGTTTAACGTGATTGTCGATCGGCGAAACATTGACATGTCGCAATTTATGGCCAGGGAGAACTCGACAATGGGTGATTGCGCGGCCGCGTACAAGATTATGCGTGAAGAAGCCGAGATTGACACGATCGAGGAAATAAATACTAATTTTCGGCTCAGGATATTGCCATTGATCGACGCGAAACCTGGGACGACTCTCTCGATCGAGAAATCTCGGATGGGATGTATTAATCCACCGCGATATGTCGATTTTTCAAGGGGAATCTTAGATATGGTATGTACGTGCGTATATCTGTGTACATATATAAATTTTTGCCTTGTACTTTTTTGCAGAGGAGATTTATTAGCAAAATACAGATCAATTCAAACAAATTCGAAACCTTCACTGAATTCGATGGAATAGTAAGATTTCCGACTGAAGAATCCGAAATGGGGACGTTATCGTTTAAAGAAATAATACAGATTAATCTAAACAGCATTGAACCTGCGCCAAATGAACTTCCAACTCTGTCCTACCCCGAACTGATCGATTTAAATACTAACAATGATATACCAAGCAATTTTATAAATTAAAGTGACAATACATATCTATATATTGTCTCTGATAATACATATCTATATATTACGTTATATATTGCAGAGAAACTATACAATTTGCTGGTATTAAATATTTAATCAAATTAAGATTATCAAACTGTAAACAGAATCAAATAAACAGTATCTTGTATATAAAATTAAGTTCTTCTTTTCATCTTTGATCCTTTAACTCTTTTTATTCATACGCTACCACTTCTAATCTACTAATTCATTTTAACTTAAAATTCTAGGGAGTACATTTTCTGAAAAAAGCTATAAGCTTTCGATATTTTCAGAGGCAGGTTAATGAATAATTTATCCGAGGTAAATAACTATCATATAGTTTCATCACGGATATTTCATAGAGAGGATAATATTTCTTGCAATGAATTTTGAATATACTCTCGCATAAAACTTTGAATTTAAGTAATATTACGTAAAATTTTAATTGTAATGCATAAAATTTTAATTCTGTCTAGGAAATATGCAATTGTAGCAAATCTGTTAAAGGTCAAAAAGCAAGTGGATTACATTTCCACGAAGTCTTCTAATATAATTGGCGCTGATGCGTCGGGTGAATTAAAATGAATTACATAATAAGAATGTCCTTAACGATATAAAGGCAGTATAAAAGCGCTTTCAAGATTAAGAGTGGCGTCAAACCACGATTTATATATACGGTGATATGATCGTTGCAACTTTTATACCATTCTTTTTAGGTAAGTCAACTGTTCATAAATTACATGTCATCATATCATTAAATAACATATCATCATAAATTATGTTTCTTTATAAATTACATTTCTTCTCTTTTGTGAAATTAACTTTTAATACATGATGATTTTCCAGACTTTTGTTACATATGATAAATCATTTGTGTCTCAAGTTAATTTTCATTACTTTTACTTGTATAAAACAATTATTAAGTGATTCTTATATATACTTCAGAAAATATTTTTATAAAGTTGTAGACTTAAAAAAAATAGTAAAAGTGGGACCATTTAGTTAGATGTTAGTTTCTAGAAAAAAAAAGCGTAGGACACGAATGATCTAATGACGTAGTGTGTATAACGTTTAAAAATGAATTTTTTGATAATGTATGTCTTTCAAATAGAATAAATAGATAATAAATGTTACAAATAAAATATAAAGCCGCGATAATTAATAACGACCTAAGAGTAATAATGTTCTATACGATAAGAGTGATAATGTTCTATAAATTGCCTCATAAAAATTTTAATTCTTTAGCCGTGCAACTTCCTATCGAGGATGGTGCGTGGCCGTATGGACCAGAATACATCTTTACTGTTCATATGAACGTGACAGGGATACCACAGTGTTCTCGTCCAACATGCAGTAATCCGTCCGGCTATCGTATCACCTCTCGATTTCATTGCATCCCGAGGAGGAATAATACTCTGAGCTGTAGCCTTAGGTACGTCGATGGCTTTGATTTTGGTATGATCGGTGAGGAAGACAATATCGTGAACCGACGCAAAAATATTACTGAAGCGCCTATCGAACTATTTTTTGATGAGAAAGGCATCGAAAATATCATCACAAGCCAGCTGACGCGGATCTATGACCTCAACATCTTGAAGATGGTGGCCGAGCAGCTGCATCCCGGCGACAATTTTAATAATATCGGGGATGGCACATTTGAGGGTGAAACCGCATCCACCATAGGCAGATGCAACGCCACCTTCGATTTGTATCATCATTCTGGGGATGGAAATCCGAATGAGACAAGATTTCGATTAAAATTATTATCGCCGAGATTGCATATGACGTCCACAGAGACTCTTATCATCAATAAGCAGACGAATCTTAATCATTGCAGCTGTTACGCAGACAGTTACTTTCGCAAATATGGTGATACGGTTGTCTATCAACGCTTGCAAGCGGATTTAGTAAGTTATTTACGACAATATTGTGAATAGTCTGCTTATATCCAGATAACAAAAAGTTTAAAATCGGATCATAAAACGGTTTTTGCGTCTAGACGACTTAAAGATGTCTTATGTCATAATTTTAGATTTTATATTGTTTGAGTATGTTTTTTATGATCACTTTTAACAAATTAAATTTATTTTTGTATCAATTTTTGGCTAATACTTTGTGCTCGGAAAGAAGCATAAATCAGAAATTATTCTTAATTTATATGTGTCATTTTTTTAGGATATTATGATTAGTCATATGGAAATCAGTGAAACGAGTTTTAGTTCATCAACAACAAGGAAGGGTACATCGGTTTCAAACCACAAGACATATAATATAATCGAAATTACAAAAATAATCTTGGAAGACATTCAGCCTGCCACGAAAGACCCACCCGCGATCGTGAAACCGGGCGAAACCAAGATACTTGCTAATTATGACATAAAAAGTATCTCTACTTCCTATTAATAATAATTATTAAAAATGCTAATGTTATGAATACAATTAAGTTAATTCTAAAAGAAAATAATAAAAATCTTTAGAAATGCAAAAGCGGAAACTATTATATAAAATGATAGATATTAAAATTTACTATATTGTTTATAAAGTCTGACCGAAATTTTTGCCAAAACTGAACCTAAACACTCGGCTACATGTCAATTTCAATCAAAACCAAAATCAAAATTAAAAAAGAAATTCTATAAAGGCCATATATATAGACATGCCTGTATATATCATATACTTTTTCTTCATAAATATTATAATTTATTGAAATAATAATTAAATTTCAGCCGGAATAGAAAACTGAAAAATCGGTCGTATGTTAATTTTAGCTAAAGAATATAAGTACTTCTTCATAAACATTATAATTTAATTATTGAAACAATAATTACACATATTAAAATTAATATTTATGAAGAAGAACTATATAGTTTCAATCAAAATTTATACGTCATGAATGTTAGTTTCCAGTTTCGGTAAAAGTTTCGATCGGACTCTAATTATTTATATAATAAGAGAATAAAATAATGTAAAAAGTAAAAGCTTATTATAGAAATATGTATATATGTATACAGTAATAAAATAGATAGAAAATAATTCGATTTAATCAAATGTTGTTAAAATTATTTCTTTAAAAGTTTAACTATGTATTATTGTTATTATAGTTAACAGTAATGCAATAAAACTTAGTAAATAATAAATGCACATAAATGCACGTAAATTTTTTTATTTATATTACGCATACATTAAATTATAACTAGAATGATGGACGCATATCACGTACACACACAATATAGAATGTGCGTGTATGTGTGTGTATACGCGCGTATGTGTCTATGTATGAAATATGTATACGTATACAATAATCATCATAATTGAGAATTATTCAATGATTGCGATACTTAAATCTAACTAGTCAAATTGCAAATGGCCCTTCAGAATTTTTGAATCGCGTGATCACACTAATATAAACTAATATAAATGTTTTAAATTTGAGTCACATTAAATTTCACTTTTGAGCTTTAATCCAATTTTTCCCCGTATTTATATGTGAATGCGTTGTAATTATATCCACATCTACTTCGTATTTTCTTGGAATGATAATCCAACCTTGACATTAATGAATTTTAATATTTTTAGACAATGAATTTACCCACAAAAAGCTAATTTGGAGAATAGAAATAATTTATGCAAATCGTGATAACAAGCATTGCACTTAATTCATTGTAGATAATTTCTCATATCTTCTAACATAATTACACTTAGTGTCCGTTATAATTAACAGTTGATTCGTCGTTAATCTAAGTCAACTACACAATTGTAAATGCAAGAAGCATGCTAAATTTTTAATAAACCTCTAATATGCATCCCTTGCAGTAATTTTTAAAATTTAATGCACAAAAATAATTACGCAATACAATGGAGTTCGTCGCAAAATATTTCTGAGCTGAATATTATAATGTCTAAATAATATTTCGGTATGAATTTTTATATACATATTCAGTTCTATAATAATTTATATATATATATATAAATTTATACGGAAACAGCATTTATAAAAATGTATTTTTATATTTTCAATTTTATGTTTTCATGCTGAATTAAATGATGTAAAAATAAATTATTAATATTTTTAGCTTAATCCAACTCAGACTGATAAGGCCTTTTTGTTACTTATTATGTGTTCATATTACAGTCTTATACATTGTTTGTTTTTAAAAAACTTTAATCAATAACGAATCTTGCGACTAAACTTTCACTTAATTAGAAAAGGAGTATTAATTTTTTTTAAAACAATTTCTGAATCTATGTATATCTATATTCGCTGCGTATAACAATAACACATTGCAAAGATACGCAAGTTCGAAAGAAATTTGCGTTTTTTAACTATTTCATTCGCAGATAATCACGAATTGTTTTAGATTCATAAGTATGTTACGATTTGAATCGATTATAAATCTATTGTAAATATTGAATTATCAGAATCAGTTTTAAATTTCAATACTTATAATGGCACGATTACAATTACTTTTGTGCGTCAACATAATTATTATTCATTGTCGTCCATTCACAAAGTATACGAGCATTCATTGACTAATACCTTTCGCATTATGCATTATGTCGAATATGTTAATGACGATAGAAGCTATTGCCACGCTAGTGAGAAAGTAGATTTCATGAGAAAAGTATCAAAAGGTCTTCTTCTTCCTATTTTAG